GTGGGGCGGCGGGACGGCCGCGAGGACGCCGTGGACGGCCGCGAGGTCGCATCCGCGCCTTCCGTCCAGGCCTCACGCGGCGCCGACCCGACCGCTTCTTCTTCCTCGCCGTTGCTCGGCAGGTGTTCCGATACCTGAGTGTGAGAGGGCGCGCGTGACTCTCTCTGAGGGTCGAGGGAAGTGTGTGAGTGTGAGACTCGAGGCCAGTTCACATTTTCAAATTGTTGGCCCACTTCCAAACTCTTGCGAGGTCCTGCAGGACCTGAGAAAACAAATCACGGGTCGACAACAATTTTGTACGGCGCATGTGTGAGGCACACGGCAAGATCAAGCCATCACACACACGAACCGACTCAGGCAAAGATATTCTGATGTCGGACAGAAACGGTCGCAAAACGCGTCGCGACATTAAACGCGACTTCCGAGTCAACAAACATGTCGGACAGAGAGCCAGCGGGGGTCTCAGATGGTGTCTCGACAGTGGCGCTAGTTTCTGGATTCATTTTGGCGGGGTCGTGAGCAGCAAAACGGAAGGCGGCGGACGGCGCCCGCTACAGCCGGATGTTGTTGTTTTGGTTCCCCCCCCATAGAAATGTCTCGGAATGTTGTGCAAAGACTCCCGCCGGTGCCACGTTCCACCGAGTTGTTCGTCCATCTCCGACGTCAACGGGACTCGGTCGCGCCATGATCGTTTGTTTCCATTTGGGATTTTCACCGCCTCGCTTTCCGATGGGGTGCACATCGCCGTCCACCGAAGTCGATGCAAAGCAATCCGAGGTGTTGAATATCCCCGACCTGAGATGGGACGACCTCGCGAGCGGCCGGGATCCGTCGGAGCGCAGCGCTCAGGGCAGGATTATCTGCTAAAATCATCTTTGGAGCAATTACGACAATGTGTCTGTGAGAGCGCAAGAGAACATGAGTCCATCGACATATGAGTGCGCGCGTGTTTGCGAGTGACCTGTCCGCTGCTACCGCGGCGACCGCTTTCCGTCCACCCGGTGCTCTCGAAGTCACTTTCGTAGTCGGCCGTCCGGACCCGGACGCCGCGCAGCTCGTCCGGCCCCTGCGTGCAGATCAGCACGTGTCGTGACCACTTTGGGAGCCTCCCTCATCAGGTCGGTTGGGACGGCAGACTTACAGAATTTGCGTCGTCAACCTGCGTTGGTTCTTCTTCTGCTTCCGTCCTGCCGCCGGCCGAGCCAACATCTTCCAACGTCTTCACATTGACCCAAAAGCGCTCTGCGACACGACCAAGACACATCAACAGGGTGCGCTCCGATTGTCGCTGACTTTTGTCTCTCTCATTTTCGTGCGCGCGTCTCTTTGGCTACCAATCCGTCCCCTGATTGTCTGGTGCCTGGGGGGCGCGTCTCACCTTGTGAGGACGCTTGGCTGGCGCCGCATCCAAGTGGGAAAAGTTCTTCCAGCGAGAGGATCTCCTTCGAGGCCGACCCGGACGAGCACGTCGGACTGGCGGCGCGCCGGGGGGAGAGTTGAGACCTCGGGGGTTCGAGTGGGGCTTCCGGTGGGGGGCTAGCACGGCCGGGGGAGGCCATGCCGGAGGAGGATGAGATGGGGGCGTCTCCGGGGGGCGGAGGGGACGCCGACCTCGGGCTTCTTTGGTTGAGCATCTGCCCAAAAAAAAAAAAACCGCTTCAAACAACAAAGCGTACGTAGGAATTGTTGTTTCCATTGTCCGTGTTTAGTATTCCTGTTCCGAGTAACAGTTGTCTAAAGCGCTCTGTTCCAGCTGCAATTTTCTGGCACGCCAAACCAGGAACTGAATTGTCATCCCCTTTTCTTGGCGCGTTTTCTGCACTGCCAATTGCAAATAATGTGCTGTTTATGGATAAAGAAATGGACAGGGAATGTTTTTCATCCCATCGAGAAGTAAAACCTCAAGTCAATGATTTGAAATGGCTCTCAAGCCTGACGGCAAAAATAAAAGAAGAAGGTACCAGGCCCGCTCTGCTCCCGGACGACGACCCGCTCAAGTTGCCGTCGCCCACCAGCTTCATCACCTCCTCCTCATCGCTGTCCACACTTTGGCTCCATCCGAGCAGGGAGCCGGACCCCCCCCGGGGAGATTCCGCAGCTTTCTTCCTGACCGAGCGCGTCGCTTCCCGACCGGGCGACGACGACGGGGGTCGCGAGGCCGGCGACGGGTCCGAGCTCGGGCTTTGGGTCCGGGGTCCCGGCCCTCGCTGACGGCCGTGGACGCGGCTCTCAATCTGGGCCAGCCTCCTCAGGGCGGACGCTTGCGAGCCCGGCTTGGACCGCGACGGCAGCCTGAAGAAGCGCGAGGAAGAGAAATGCGAAAGTTGACCAAAATCCAACCAAAAAAACAAAAGAGCCAGAAGAGAAAGAGGAGAAGAGTCAACGGAAAACGAGGACAGGAGCAAGACGAGCGAACTCGGCTCAGAGGGGCCCCGAACAAGGAGACAGTCAAACAAGTCAGAGAGAGAGAGAGAGAGAGAGAGAGAGAGAGAGATGAAGGCGGGGGTGGGAACAATTAAGGAGAATGAGGAAAAGTGGAGGAGGTGAAGAAGAAAGAATGAGAAAGTGGAGGACTGATGGAGGAGAGGAATTGAGGAGTGTAAAGGAGAGGAAGAAAAAAGCACAAGAAGAAGAAGAAGAAGAAAGGGGGTCAAAGAGAAGTAAACGAGGAAGAGGAGAAGCCCAAAAGAATTCAGGAGAAGGAAATGAGGAGAAAGCGAGTTGAGAAACAAACAAAATCCAAAAGAGCAGAGTCTGCCATGGAGGCCAAAGGGCAGAGCTCTTAGCCCCGCCCACCTCGACACACCTGTCCTCGCGCGACCCCGCCGGCTTCTTCAGAAAGCGCGACCCCGCCGCGTCACCTCGCTGTCCCCAAGACGAGCCGAGCGGGGACAGGTGGCTCGCGTCCGACGAGACGTCGCTGCCGCTCGGAGGAGCCGCTCGGCTTTGGGCGTCCTGTCGACGACACAGCAACGCACGCTTGACGAACAAACTCGGACGCCTTCAAACCCGAACCTTGTCTCTCGAGTCAGGTCAGGTAACCTTCCGCCATCCGTCCCTCCATCCATCCCACAGCGGGGAATACCCCAACTTTGTTCTCCAGTTGAAATCCTAAACCTATGTTGAAACGCTCATTTACACCCTCCATTTGAACTTGAACCCCAAGACAATCTTGCCTTGAAACTTTGACCCAAACTTGAAACCTTGAACCTCGTTTCAGCCGTAGGATGTTGAAAGCCTAAACGCGACATTAGCCGAGGCCACGCGAGGCTGATTGGATGGCGACGGCCGCCTGACTGACCGCATCGGCGGCGGCTGCTCGTCGGTCGCTGTGGTTTTTGTTGCTCTTGGCGTCCAGCAGCGCCCGAGCCCGGTCGAGAGCGTCGCTCGTGCCCCCTCGCCTCCACATCTCGTCGGAGCCCGCCTTGGCTAAGCTAACTTCTGTTAACTGGCGTCTTCTCGTCGCTCATTGATGACGCGCCTCTAGTGACGTTGTCGCCCCGTTGTTGCTTAGCCCCCATACTAAGCTGAAGGAGCGCGTTCAAACACGTCATTTATCCTCTCGACCGCACCGCCGCCGGGACACTTTCGTAGGATTTTTTTTTTCTTCTTGATTTAATGAATTAAACGATGACAAGTCCAAACGTTTGCTTCCTTCTTCGCCATCCAAGTTGTCTTCTTCTTTTGAGAATCTGCTTTGACACCCCAACGCTATCCTTTCAACCCGATTTCAAACCCCTAACCCTATTTTCACACCATCATTTGAAACTCTGCATTTGATCCTGGTTTGAAACCCAATTGTGAAACATTGACCCAGACTCGAAAAACCCTAACCCTAGTTTGAGAACTCAATTTAACTTGAAATCCCAACTTTGTTGTCAAAAAATTCAATTCACAACGTGAACCAGAGTTTTAAACCCACTCTTCGAAGCTTCATCCTGGCAACGATGAACGTAGGTAAAACGTGTCAACTCAATTCCTCCTGTGGTCTCGTTTGATAACTGCGGAGCGGGTCACCTTGCGGTTCTCGCCTTCCCCTTCATTACTTCGTCATGAGATTGCGGTAACGCTTGGGCGCCATTGGGGCGCCCGTGGCCTTGGAAATTGGAATGAATGAGCGCACGCTGTCATGTCATGTTGCCGCTAATCTAATCCTGTGTAATCCCGGCCCCATCGACTCTGAGCCGAGGGGAAATATTGGCAAAAGGGGCGGGATTAGCAAGCGGAGCGTCTGTGTGTAGCAATTGAGAGGAAAAAAAAAAGCCATCAAAAACAAAAATACTTGCACACGATAATATGCCGCTTGCGCAAGTCCGCACGCGCACTAGCTGCTGTGTGGTGCGGCACATGAGTGTGATGCGGTCTTGCGCGTCTTGGGGGAGACCCAGGACGTCATTCCACCTCCACTTGTGCAACCTAACAAAAAGAACTAACCCTCATATGACCCTCCCAACACACACACACACACACTCTTACTCTCACTCTCTCTCAAAACCCTAACCTCGGGTTTAAACTCTAAATTTGAAACCATAGCCCCTCTTACTCTCACTCTCTCTCAAAACCCTAACCTCGGTTTTAAAGCCTAATTTGAAACCATAGCCCTTGACTTGACATCGCAATGTCAAACCATCCAACCATTTTCTGATCCGCTTCTCCTCACGAGGGTCTTGAGCCTATCCCAGCTGTCTTCGGGCATTAAGCGGGGGACACCCTGAGCCGGTGGCCAGCCCACCGCAGGGCACAGATAGACGAGCAATCATCCGGGCTCACAATCGCCCCAAGGGACAATTTAATTAATGCGCCATGCATGTTTTTGGAATGTGGGAAGAAAGCGGAGTACCTGGAGAAAAGCCACGCAGGCACGGCGAGGGCATGCAAACCCCACAGAGCCGGAAGCAGACTCTGCACCTCTGCGCTGTGAAGTGGACGTGCTAACCAGTTGACGCCTGTACCGCCATTTAAAAAAAAACATTTTTTTAAGACATTTGGAAAAATGTATGCCTTTCATTATTGCCCCTCGACGGCGAGGGCATGCAAACCCCACAGAGCCGGAAGCACACTCTGCACCTCTGCGCTGTGAAGTGGACGTGCTGTACCGCCATTTAAAAAAACATTTTTTAAGACATTTGGAAAAATGTATGCCTTTTATTATTGCCCCTTGTCATGTGTATCTGCAGCACTTGTGTGAATATTCATTATTTCAAGGAACGTCACACATGGAAGTCAAAGCTAATTTCCTACTAGCATGTCGATATCATTTTAAATTGACTTTAGCATTGTCACCGGCAACCGTTCTTTTTGCTGTGGGTTTCATTTTACGCTCAACTCCAACTGGGGTGTCACGAAACCGTTTCAAACATGCTCCGGGACGGGTGAGTCGTCGATAGCGTCTGCCGCTCCACTTGAAAGCGACATGGCGCTTTCACGCTGTTTTCGCAACATAGGAACTGAGAGTAACGCGCAGTTTGATGCGCTCCTCCAAGTGCCCGTTCATTTGATTCATCCTTTCAGCAATCGAGCGCCTGTGTTGGGGAGTTGGGAATGAGCGAATGCTTGCACTCATCATTTGCGCATCTCCAATAGCTATACCGTGAAGATATTTTAAGGGAGACACTGAGAGAGGCACAGCAGCCGGGCGCGCGCGCGGCGTTGGCCGCCAGCTGTTGATGGATGGGCGGGCGGATGGATGGATGGGGCCGAGCCAGGCGGGGCTAGGGCGGGCGGGGATTGGTCGGCACGGGGTTAGCGTCCGGCTCCGAGAGCGCCAGCTTAGCGCAGAGTGGCGCAGCAGCCCGGGAGGATGCGCGGGATGCCGAGGCGGGACCTGGAGCTGTAGAAGCGCCGCGCGTCAGCGGGAAGTCGCTTTTCTTCGCTCCCTGGTGGCGTTTGGGGACCACGTCGCTCGCGTCTCGGAACCCGCATGGCGGCCTGAGGGAGACGGAGGGCGGGGGGCCCGGGGGCAGGCCGGGTGAGGGGGCGACCATGGCGGTGGCGCTGGAGGCCGTTTGGCTGAGGGTGAAGAACGTCTGCAAACAAAATGGCCTCCTGATCATGTCCGTGCTGGCCGTGGTCGTCGGCTGCCTTCTGGGATTCTTCCTCAGGACCAGGCGGCTCTCCGAGCAGGTCGGCGCCACGCACACAAACGGGACAGATGGTTTGAAAAACCTTCCTTCCTTCATTTTCCCAAGCGCTTGACCTCACCAGGGTCGTTCATTGAAAACTTCGTCTTTACGTCATGACGAACAGAAGATATGGAATGAGAATGAAAGTCTTGATTGTGCCGAATGGAGCGTTCGTATCCGTGACTCGTCTTATGCCACTTCATGCCAAAAGCTTCGAACGGCACAACGAGGCTGAATGTCTTTGAACAGGACATCGAATTTGAGTTTGTGACAGTCAATTCAGTCCCAACTTGAAAGTTTCAAAGTAAATGCCAAACGCAAATGAAAGTCAAAGCCACAATGACGTCACTTGGGTCATTTGGAGAAATCATTTTGAATCAAAACATTGATTCGGTCTGAAATGAATTTGATTGAATGAACTTCGGTGAAACATTTTGCATTTAACTTTGAAATGCTTTCAAATTCAAATGAAATGTGTGTGTGTGTGTGTGTGTGTGTGTGTTTTGTGTATGGGGGTGTGTAAATGTGCGTCTTGGTCAAAATGTGCGGGCGTGTGTTTTCGCCGGTCGCTGATCCGGCTGGCACACAGCAAAACTAAGCCGCCGGCGCTTAGTGGCTGCCGGCAAAGCGCTTTAGCAGCCATCCATTAGGCCTCATCCTCCTGCGCCAGCTCGCCTTCCCGCTTCCCTCCTCGTGTCGCACCTGACTGACTTCCTTAACGGCGGCCATGACTCCCAACGTTTCGCCACGCGGCCGTTCGCCCCGACCTCATGTGGCCGCCTCGTAAACTAGTGCGAGATCCAGCCCTTTGCGCTCGGATATCCCGCTGCTCGTCCTGCAAGAGGACTTGTTGGGAAAGCGCTGAACCTTTTTTGCTAGGACGAGCTTTTGTCCTCACAGACATTGATGCCGTTTGTGAAATGGACCTCGTCAGACCGCATATAGGCAAATGCGGACCGGCCCGCGTCCTCTCAAAGAGTGGCCCCCAAGCCACGGGCCATTTGTGACCAGTGCCTCCACTGCCACATTGGCGAAGGATAGTTGCCGGTCCGTGAGAAAAAGGTTTGTGAAGCTGTATCAAAGTCAAAAGGAAAAGCAATTTTTGCTGCTCAAAGCGGCGAGGGCATCCGAAGGAGCATTTTTGCCTTTGTGGCTGGCAGCAGGGGCCTGCGTGCACAACCCCTCACCCGCACCCCCCCCCCCCCCCCCCGAACTCAGCCAGCCGTCATCACGGCGTCGGTGGCGCCGCTTGGTCCAAGTCGAGATGGCAGCGGCCCAACATCATGAGGGCTGATAGAGAACAGCTGCAAAGTCATGTGACAATGCAAACAAGAGGCCTGCATGTTGCGCGCGCGCACGCACACACACACACACACACACACACACTCGCGCGCGCATAGCCACAGTTTCCTGCTGGCCTGCCCCAGTAAAACGAGTGCGCTCATCTGAATGAAGGACAGAAACTTGTACTAGCTACGATCTGGCGTACTTACTCTTGACTAGCTCTGCCACTCTGAACAACCAATGTCAAGAACGATGCGAACTGTCCCTGCCGATACTGCGACGGGTGAATGGCGTTTGCATTGGCGGCCATTTCGACGGGGCAAGAGAATTGCGAATGCGAATCCTTGTCGTGTTGCGCTTAGCTTACGTATCAGTCATTTCATGAAACATATCTTTGCTTGTCTGCCATCCGTTTTTGGGGGGGTGACTTGAAACGCAGCCGTCTGCGAAGCCTTTTCGGACGGTCAAGTCACAGGAAATAGTGAAGGCGTCTTTTCTGTGCTCTCTCTCTCTCTTTCTCCCCACACAGGAAGTGAAATATTTCCAGTTTCCTGGCGAGCTCCTGATGAGGATGCTGAAGATGCTGATTCTGCCTCTGGTGGTGTCCAGGTACTCGCGCCGCACTATTCGATTCTGTGTGCGTGCATGCGCGTTGCAGAGAGAGAGCGGGGATTAAGCAGGGGCGTGTCCATTGAGTGCACACGCCACTAAGCCAACACGAGGACAAAACGTAGCCCGAACCGAGTCGACTTGCCACCTTGGCGTTGACGACATGCGACGCTGTCTTCAGCCTGCCTTCCTTTGACTTTGTGTGGCTGCCACGCTGCCTTCGTGTTGCCTTCATGTTACCCCCGTGCCCCTGCGTTGCCGTTGCAGTTTGATGTCAGGCCTGGCCGCGCTGGACGCCAAGTGCTCCAGTCGGCTGGGCCTGATCACCGTGTCCTACTACCTGTGGACCACCTTCGTGGCCGTCATCGTGGGTATCGTCATGGTGTCCGTCATCCACCCGGGCGGCGCCGCCCAGAAGGAAGACTCGGAGGACAGCGGCAAGCCCATCATGAGCTCGGCGGACGCTCTGCTCGACCTGATCCGGTGAGATTTCCCCTCCGTCGAGTCCCGTGTCGGTTTGTGCCGAGCGAGTGCCTAAGATGCGGCCGGCCGTGCGATCTTGTCGCAGAGGTTAGAAATCTCTGTCGGTCGTGTCTCGGACCGAATGGCTATCGCCCGTGGAGTTCCCCGGGGCTCAAACCCGGGAGCGGAATTGTTCCGTCCGTACCTTCAGCCTGCCTTCCTTTGACTTTGTGTGGCTGCCACGCTGCCTTCGTGTTGCCTTCATGTTACCCCCGTGCCCCTGCGTTGCCGTTGCAGTTTGATGTCAGGCCTGGCCGCGCTGGACGCCAAGTGCTCCAGTCGGCTGGGCCTGATCACCGTGTCCTACTACCTGTGGACCACCTTCGTGGCCGTCATCGTGGGTATCGTCATGGTGTCCGTCATCCACCCGGGCGGCGCCGCCCAGAAGGAAGACTCGGAGGACAGCGGCAAGCCCATCATGAGCTCGGCGGACGCTCTGCTCGACCTGATCCGGTGAGATTTCCCCTCCGTCGAGTCCCGTGTCGGTTTGTGCCGAGCGAGTGCCTAAGATGCGGCCGGCCGTGCGATCTTGTCGCAGAGGTTAGAAATCTCTGCTAAATTGGCTCCGGTCCCGCCTCGAGGGCAGAAGTTGGCCGTCGGTCGTGTCTCGGACCGAATGGCTGTCGCCCGTGGAGTTCCCCGGGGCTCAAACCCGGGAGCGGAATTGTTCCGTCCGTACGTGCCTCCGTGACGCCAGCTAATACGCTCGCGATTATGCGTCTTCCAACATGTGCGCACGGGTCGAGTCTCTCCATCGTCTCGCTCCCAAGTACGTCTTTGAGTGCGCTGGGAACGGGATTTTTAATTGATCCCCTTTATCCCGCAGAAACATGTTCCCGGCCAATCTGGTGCAGGCTACCTTCCAACAGGTGACCCAAAGGGAAATCTTGATCACCGTCGTGTCTTTCGTCTCGTCGGCCATCCGTTCCACGATCGTGTTTGGCATCTGTGTCCAGCATCTTTTCCCCGCCGTGTCACCCACGCACCCGCTCGATCCACTTGTTCGCCATCGTGTCTCCTATCTTGTCGGTCCCGCGGTCCCATGTTGGCTGCCGTCTTGTCGCTCAGCCGCTCAAGGATCTTTTGCACCATCGCGTCTTCCGTGCATCTTGTCGGTCACCTGGTCTTTCCGGTCGTATCGTCCATCTTTTTCATTCTCCGCTCCGTTGTCATGTTGGTCGCCTGCTCAATCTCGCTGACCTTTCATTTTGTTCACCCAAAGTTGGAAACAACAAAGTCTGGCGCCATGATGTTTCTATTGCTGGTATTGCCTTGCATCATTCTCTGACGGTGTGGTTTATTTTTTTATTTTTTTTTGGGGGGGGGGCGGATTTTGGGCAAAATTGTTGCCCGCGCAGCTGCAACCTGCTGCCTCAGCCCGACCACCCCCGCGCGAAAAGAAAAAAAGAAAAAAAACACGCAAAGGGAGACGTGTGTGTTTGAGCTCAAGCTTATGTTCAGCAAATATGAATTCAAGCAAACCTCTGCGTCATTCCTTTCAGCGGATGAAGAATGAATCTCTTTTGTGGGACGCGGGATGCTCACCAAAGCGCGACCGTTTGTTGTCGTCACGTTCCGAGCCCATTTCTTTTCTACTTCACGACTCGGATTGTCATCAAATCTATGGCGTGCAGTTAAAAATATCGCTTCCGTATGCTACATTTTGGGAGCGTTTCCCAACGTCGTCATCCGAATCACGCGGCCTTGCTTTGTTAAGAGGAACAAGACGGCAGCCCTCCCGTCATTGTCCAGACTTTTTCTTCTCCAGCTCTTGTGTTCTCCATCGTGAGTTCCGTCTCATTGCACACGCAGTCCATCCTTTCCGGCGTCTTGCTCTCTATCGCGTTGTGTCCGTGGCGGCGGCGGCGGCGTCGTCGTCCCAAAGGCGTCCACCATGGCGCGTTGCTCTGTGGTTTTGGACAGTATCGAACCAGCAGCCAGTACACGGTGCAGACCAAGCCCACGTCGGCCCGGACGCCGTCCCAGTCGGTCACGCGGCCGCCGCTCATCTACGGCATCCGGGACGACAACGGGAGCGACGTCCAGAACTTCTCGCTGGACCTGACGCCGCCCCCCGACGTGCTGGTCAAAACCAAGGAGGGGACCAGCGACGGGATGAACGTCCTCGGCATCGTCATCTTTTCTGCCACCATGGGTAACGCTTTCCGAGCTCGGGATTAAGATTCGGCAGCATGGGGGGCGGTTCTTGGAAGACGGCGCGCGATGTGGCGTCGTTGCAGGCATCATGTTGGGCAGGATGGGTCCAAACGGCAGCGCCTTGGTCAACCTTTGCCAGAGTTTGAACGAGGCCGTGCTCAAGATAGTCGCCGTTGTCATTTGGTAAGTAGACGGCGCGCCCGCCGTCGCAACAGTCCAACTTGAACCCGATTGGGGTTGAGGCCTCAGACTTAAGAGTCGGTTATCCTTGCGCGCGCACCTCCGTCCCCGAGCTGACCCACGAGAGTACCCGGTATGACGGAAGCGTCGCGTCCCCGCGGTGCCTCCCCACGCCGCAGGTACTTCCCGTTCGGCATCGTGTTCCTGGTGGCGGGCAAGATCCTGGAGATGAGCGACCCATCGGCCATGGGCAAGAAGTTGGGCTTCTACGCCGTCACGGTGGTCTTGGGCCTGGTGCTGCACGGCCTCTTCATCCTGCCCGCCATGTACTTCTTCATCACCAAGAAGAGCCCCATCGTCTACATCCGCGGAATCCTCCAGGCGCTCCTCATCGCCCTGGCCACCTCGTCCAGGTAACCGTCGGCACGCGGCCGGACCGGTCGCGCGGCGCTCGGGGGTCACCGTCCGGGCGGCTCGTGTGGCTCTTTTGCCCGTAGCTCGGCCACGCTGCCTATCACCTTCAAGTGCCTCCTGGAGAACAACCACATCGACAGGCGGATCATCCGCTTCGTGCTGCCCGTGGGCGCCACCATCAACATGGACGGCACGGCGCTCTACGAGGCCGTGGCCGCCATCTTCATCGCGCAGGTCAACAACTACGAGCTGGACTTCGGACAGATCATTACCATCAGGTCGGTGGACGCCTCCGGTCCTTTGCAGCCCGCGTCGCCTTCGGGAACCTTCCTTCCCGCTCCCTCGCGGCTCCTTTCTTACCTCTCGGCGTGCCCTTCCCCACTCGTGACTTGCATTTTGTGCGGTTCAAGGCAAGGCTCGGTCCCCGGCCGGGACTGTTGGGAACCGTGTTACTGATGCTTCCTTCCTTCCTTCCTTCCTTCGCAGCATCACGGCCACGGCCGCCAGCATCGGCGCGGCGGGCATTCCCCAAGCGGGCCTGGTCACCATGGTGATCGTGCTCACCTCCGTCGGCCTGCCAACCGACGACATCAGCCTCATCATCGCCGTGGATTGGGCGCTGTAAGTGGCCTGCGCGTCGAATGTCGGCACCGCCTTGGTGATCCACGTCACCTTTTGGCCCGCGCAGAGACCGATTCCGGACCATGGTCAACGTCATGGGCGACGCCCTCGCCACCGGAATCATGGCGCACATCTGCCGGAAGGACTTCATCAAGGAGGGAGACGGGGTAAGCGCTCGCTCGCTCGCTCGCGCGACTTGCTGTCCTCTCACTTCCCGTTGCCGCCTGTTTTTCTTCTCGACTTCCTGCCTCAATTCTCGCTGTCCTCGTTTGCCCTTTCTCCAATTCTTCTTTCCCCGCTCCCTGTCCGCTTACTCACTTCCCGCCTCCTTCTTTCTTGTGTGATGACTGCTTGGTTTCCAACTTTCTGCGTCCTTTTGCCTCACCTCCCGCGTCCTTACTTCCCGCTCGCCGGCCCAGGTCTGTCGTTTTCTTACCCCGCGTTTCCCGACTCCTTGGCGGCGCGCAGGTGCCACTGGTGTGCGAGAGCCGCGCCGGCGTGGCGGCTTCGCTCATGAACTGCCACAACACCGACGACGACCGCCGGCTGCCGTCCAAGCACACGCTGGTCCCGCCCGAGGTGGCGCGCCTCATGCGGCTGGAGGAGGGCTTGCGGCCGCCGCCCGACAGGAAGAAGCCGCGCGTCCCCCCGCGACATGCCAAGAGGAAAAAGGACCGCCCTGCGGCGGACGTGAACGGCCTGGAGACCAACGTGTGAAGGACGGCGACGACGCCTTTGCCTTTGGCCCTGTTTTCCGCCCCGCAGAATTCTTTCTGATCTGCGGGCGGACCGGAACTAGAACCGCGCCCGGACCCGTACCGCTGCTGCTTGGACGGAGCTTATGAATCCTTGAGGGACCAAGTCACTCGTTTGATTCTGCCTTAAGACTCCCGGAGCTGCGATTCAACTCACCAGTCCTGTGGAGTGTTGAACGTATGCCATCCATCCGTGGCCATGGGATGTCTCAACCGACCCCTGGATGTGCAAAAACAAAAAAACAGTTCAGTCAATAATGGAATGGAGTCGCGTCACGGCTTGAGGACCAAAACTCTTCCCAAGCGCCCGATGGAATTGCTCCGTCAATGCATCCGTCCGTCCGTCCCTCGATGGCCTCCGGGAAGTCCGCACATCGGGTGTCTGCCTCTGTGGATCGCAAGCAGCTTCAAGCTAAGTTTTGAGTCTCCACCAAAATGTTCTCCACGGTCAAATGGCGGCGGCCCGGTGGTCGACTGGTCCTCCTCAAAGTGCAGAGGTGAAAGGTTCGATTCCGGTTTGCATGTTCTCCCCGGGCCTGGGTGGCTTTTCTTCGGGTGCTCTGCTTTCCTCCCACTTTCCCAAAACATGCACATTAGGTGAATGGAACAACTCGAAATTGTCCCTTAGTGTGAGTGTGGGCGCTGATGGTCGGCGTTTGTCTACGTGTGCGTCCTGCGATTGGCCGGGGGGTTTTTTGGGGTTTGGTCTCGGGGTGCGCCGTGCGATTGGCCGGCCAGTAGGCGGGGTGCACCCTGCCTACTGGCCAAAGACTGCCGGGGGAGGGGCTCTGGCACGCCCGCGACCCACCTCAGGATGAACGAGTTTTTTCAGATGGTGGATGGTTGGATGGCTGGTCAAATGTTTTTTTTATTTATTTTGGATTTTTTTGGAGATCATAGCACTTGCTAGACATGAGGTAGTCGTCGGCATTTTGGGAATACACTGATGCAAATTAAAACTGGGCATATGTGTCATGAGTTTTGATGTGAATGGTTTTATTTTTACATGTTGTGAAAGCCTCAATCCAAAAGGAGCATTTTTTTGGACAACGCTTGCAAGGAGCTGCTGTAGGCCACAGCTCACGCCCGGATGCTCACGTGCAGATTAGTGCGCCTGATGTCAGGCCTCGCCAATTTAAGGTACACATCCGTGTGCAATCGTGATCCTTTCTCAATCAGGTTTATTTGTCTGCATATGGTGCTGGTTTTCTGCATTCCATTTTGCATCTCCCCCCTCCAAAAAAAATCTTTCTTTCCAGGCAACTATACGTAGCGTCAACGGTTTGCAGCCAGGTGCGCAAATAATGGGAGGCCGCTGTCATGTGTCATTTTAATGCAAGTAAACAGAGTGATGAGCTCAGTCGGGGT